GGCTTGGGCTGACCACACTGGATCTTTTGAGTCCAGTCAAGCCAGAGCCCCTTTGGTTGTCTGTGGAGTAACTGAAAAACAAAGAGAAAAAGACCCTCCATTACTACAAGGATGCAAACCCCGACCTGGGCAGCTGCACAGTGCCGTCCTGTGTCGTGCTTGCCAGAGGACGACACCAGAGCGCGCACCAACACTCCTCGCGGCACGTCACTCACAATACTTGGTAATGCTGTTGACTCACACAACAGGCTATAATACAGTGTACACACAGCTTTTATGTTAATGGGAAAACCCAATATTGCTGTGACTTGCTTTATGGCTGACACTGGCTTTGCTGCCATGGTCTGGGACAGACTCAGCACTACCTGGGAGGTAGGCCTGTGCACAGACTTCTCCGAGCATGAGCTCACCCTGGGGGTGGGGTGGGGTGGGTGGGGGTGGGGTGGGGTGGGTGGGGGCGGGGCGGGGGCTATCCCACTTCCCTCTGGTTCTAATAAAAAGAAAAAGCTGGCCATCATCTGAATAGACAACCCAGTAAGGTAACATACCCTCCATTGGCAGAGACTGAAGAGAAGCTGCCTGGAAGGTACGGACCTGGGACTTCCCTCTCAGGTCAAGGCTAGCTGCGATCTCCGCTTGGTTATCCAAGGCAGGCACTCCTCTCATGAGCCCCCCACCCCTCAGTGGCCCTTCTACCCGTGGGTGGCAGCTTCATCTGAAGCCAACACTAAGGAAGCACACTGGAGTACGAACACAGCCACCACCCACCACTGGGCGGGCACTGCTCTCCAGGCTGTGAAAGTGCAGAAGCCCCAGTGAGGTCGGGAAGCCATCCTGACCAAACCTTAGTGGGGACAGAGGTGGAGGGGCACACCTCAGTTCGTGTGGAAGAACCTGAGCTCAGCGGAGATGGAAACTGAGCAGGTTCACCACACTCCTGAGCTGGTGTGAAAGAGGCTGAGGACCTGGGATCAGATATGCCTGACTGCAGCTGCAAGATCGCAGACCACCGAAGAACCCGAGGGGTTGTTTCTCCTCCCTGTTGTACTAACAGCTACTCAGAAAAGTATCCATCCTGGAATTTTCAGACTTTCAAGCCATAGCCAAGGACTGGGCGGGTTGGAGTGGGAAGGGATGAAGGTTCTCAACATAATCAGCCTCTAATTAAACAGCATCCAAAGAGAAAAGCCCACAGCCTTTAAAGCTCTCGCTTGTCGACACCAGAAAGGGACAAAAAGAACAATGAGGCCAACTGTGGGACCTGGACAGTCGTCAGCCCCCTCCGCAGGCACATCAGCTCAACCTGCCCCTCTCTGCCAGGGCTGCTGACCTCTACAAACAACGGGCAGGTGACACTTCAGCCGCCACCAGGTGGCTGTCTGCTAGGGCCCTAGGTACTGCACAAGGTGTCTTCTAAATCTTTAATGGGCAGCAGGTTTTATCACTTCAAGTTAGGTTAAAGCTAACTAAAAAAAGTAAGGTAAGTAGGTAGCTCAGTTCAGGAGGGGCAGAAGAGCCAGTGGTTACCAACACAGGCTTGCTTTCTAATCATGGTTCTGGCTCTCATTGGCTGTGTGACCTTAGGTGACTTCTCTACTCATCTGCAACATGCGGCTAACAGTATCTATACCTCAAGAGCACTGAACCCTACTGACAGAAGACAAGGCAAGTTGTAAGAGGACATTACGAGCAACCTACATAAAGACAGCAACAGGTCATTAAAAAGGAAAAGAAAGAGAGGAAAGGGGGGGAGCGGGGAGGGAGGGGAAAAATGAGGACCTAATGTCGGGGGTTTAAATGAGAGAAAATGTTTTGAGAAATGATGTACAAATACGCTTTACACAATTGATGTGTGTATGGATTGGGATAACAGTTGTATGAGCCCCTA